TATCCATCTGACTAGAGATTAATAAATAACCAGAATATGTAGAAAACAAAAACTCAATAGTGAAAAAACAATCCAAATAAAAAATAGACAAAAGACCTGATAGCCGCTTCTCAAAATAAGACATAAAAATGGTTAAGTATATGAAAAAAATGCTCAACATCACTAATCATCACAAAAATGCACATCAAAACTACAATAAGTTATCACCTCACCCCAGTTAGAATGGCTGCTATCATCAAAAAGACAGAAAAAAACAGAGAATGGCAAGGATGTGGTAAAAAGAGAACTCTTAAACACTGCTGGTGAGAATGTAATTAGAATAGCCATTACAGGAAACATATGGAGGTTCCTCAAAAACTAAGAACTGCCATATGATCCAGCAATCTCACTACTGGGTATATATCCAAAAGAAAGGAAATCAGTATGTCAAACAGATATCTTCACTCCCATATTTACTGCAGCACAATTCATAATAGCAAGGATATGAAATCAACCTAAGTGACCATCAGTGAAAGAATGGATTTTAAAATGTCATATATATACACAATAAATACTATTCAGCTATCAAAAAAGAATGAAATCCTGTCATTCACGGCAACATGGATGAGCCTGGAGGACACTAGGTGAAGTGATATAAGCCAGGCACAGAAAGATAAATACCACTTGTTCTCACTAATATGTAGAAGCTAAAAAAGTTGATCTTATAGAAATAGAATAGTGGTTACTATATACTGGAAAGGGTAGGGAGGAGGGGGGACAAAAAGATGTTCGTTAATAGAAAATTATAGCTAGAGAGAAGGAATAAATTTTAGTGTTCTATAGCACTGCAGGGTGACTATAGTTTATTGTATATTTTCAAACAGCCACAGAGAGATTTTTGAATGTTCCTAACTCAAAGAAATGATAAATGTTTGAGGTGATGGATATGCACATTACCCTGATTTAATCATTACATAATGCATAAATAAATGGAAATATCACACTGTCCTCCATAAATACATAAAATTATTGTATCAATTAAAAATAATTTTTAAAAAATCAATGGCATCCATGAATTTACACTTTTAAAAGGTTGAATTGCCTCTCCAAAAAGGATATGTTGAAGTACTAACCACTGGTACCTGTGAATGTGACCTTATTTGGAAATAGGGTCTGTACATATGCAATCAAGTTAAGACAAGGTCATCAGGGTAAACCCTAATTCAATGACTAAGACCCATATAAGACAAGGGAAATTTGGGCATAGAAACTCCCAGTGGGAAAATTGTATTTGAAGACAGAACCAGAGATGGGAATAATACATCTAGAAGCCAGGGAACACCAAGGCAAGGATTGCTGGCCTTAACCAAAAGCTAGGAGGAAGGCATACAACAGTTTCTCCCTCAAAACTCTTAAAGGAACCAACCCTGCCAATGCCTTGATTTCAGACTTCCAACCCCCAGAACTGTGAGAGATTAAATCTCTATTATTTAAGATACCTAATTTGTAGTACTTTGTTACAGCATTCCTAGGAAATTAATATAATAATGATAAATAAGTGATTAAATAAATGAGGAAGAAGACACAAATCTGCCATTCAAGAAGTACTTCAAATAATTTATGCAGACACTTCCCCCTTAAGGAGGTAGAGTATAACTTCTCACTCCTTCAGTGTCAGCTGCTCATAGTTACTTCCTTCCAAAGAGTGCAGTATAGAAGGTGAGAGAAAAGGTAACTTCACAGTGGAAAATCTCAACAAAGGTCAATATAAACAGTGATAAATCATGTAGAGAATATGTACCCTTGAAATGATGTGATGAAGATGGCACTTTACTTCCATGGTTTGCCTCTCAAAAAATCAAAACTACAATCTAATCATGAGAAAAACGTCACACAAATCCCAAGTAAAGGACATTTTACAAAATACCTGACCAGTACTCCTCAAAAGTGTCATGGTCATTAAAAACAAGGACTAGAAAACTATCAGAGCTAAAAGCAGCCTAAGGACTTATGAATAACAAATACCATGTTTCCCCAAAATAAGACCTATCCATAATATAAGCCCTAGCAGGATTTCTAAGCATTTGCGCAATATAAGCCCTACCCGGAAAATAAGACCTAGTGATGGGCATGGCTACGCAGCGTGTCTACGAAGTGTGTCTGCACAACCCATGCATTTCATTGCAGAGCTGTAAAGAAGACAAGCAGCCCTTCTCATCTGCCCCATCGTGACAGCTACTATCCCAGAGGTGACCGGAAAGGTGCGGGCAGCCCCACCAACAAGGTCGGCTCCCCCTGTCAGGTCCCAACCATCCTGTGCATGCTGCAAGCTGAGGCTTTGAAGGGAAAATAACACATCTCCTGAAAATAAGCCCTAGGGTGTCTTCTTGAGGAAAAATAAATATAAGACCCTGTCTTATTTTCAGGGAAACACGGTAGTATACAATGGTATCCTGGATGGGATACTGAAACAAAAAAAGGACATTAGGTAAAAACTAAAGAAATCTGAATCAAGTATGAATACTGACTAATAATAACGTATCAACTTTGGTTCATTAATTGTAACAAATATACTATACTAATGCAAAATGTAAATAATAGGGGGAATCTGCAAACTCTTTGTACTATCTTCATAATTTTTCTTTTTTTTATAGTTTTAGGGGGTGCAAGAGCAGTTTTGTTACATGAATATATTGCATAGTCTGGGCTTTCAGTGTACCCATCACCTAAAGAGTGCACACTGTACCCAACAGATAATTTTTCAGCCCTCACTACCTCCTACCCTCCCACCTTTTGGAGTCTCCAATGTCTATTATTCCACTCTATATGTCCCATGTATGCCCACTGTTTAGCTCTCTCTTATAAGTGAAAACAATCTTCATAATTTTCTATAAAACTTCAATAGTTCAGAAAATGAAGTTTATTAAAAATAAATCAATGCCCAGGATTCAATAGCCTTCAGTTCACCACCACCATCACCGTCAGATTAACTTACAATCAATGTCACCATTCAGAGCAATTCTATCTGGTTCAGCTTGTACCAGAATTTCCCATACTCATCATTCAAAAAGTATTTATTCAGTACCCACTTTGTACCAGAAACTATTATGAACACCAAAAATAAAGTGATAGTAAAAACAGATTTCATGCTTTGAGTAGTTTATATTCTGATATAAATGCAAACACAAAGTTTTTAAAGACAATCAAGGATATATGAAGTTTCCTACCTGATCATCAGGATACAATCTCAAGTACACGCTTAAGAGTGTCTAGGAATAGACAATATTCACTGAAAACATATGGTCCAATTGTAAACAAGAATATCTGAAGAAAAGAAACTAGCCTATCTCTATGAAGGGGTACTTAGTATTCCCTCAAATGGCTAGTACCACAACAAATGGACTTCTCCATAGAGAAGGAGAAGGATAGGATTCTCTTCCCAAGATACAGAAGAGCTATACATGTACAAGATCTTGTGGGAGAAGAAAATAATTAAAATACTGAAAACAGAAAGAACAGTTGGGAGATATAATAGGCCCAACTAGTTGCTATTTATGTCTACCTACATAGCCAGTGATCATCTCTAATTCAAATGACTTAACATTCCCTTTCTAACACTAATTCCTGTCATACTAGTTACTCATTCAGAGATAGTTCAATGCTATGACTACCCAGAATTAAACAACACAACAATTATGGATTGTTTTTTTTGCTTCCAGCTGAGCCCCATGCCTCTCCTTTCCGTGTATGTACATGTGCGCACATACGCTTTCTTTTACCCACATAATTGAGTGATCATGTCTTGCTCATCATATCTGCTCTCTCTCAAACCTACCTATTGCTGTTGATACTTATTCCCCCACCTGACTGACTTTAACTATACTAAGGCAAAGAGCCTCACTGATTTCTCCTAACAGATTTTTCCCCATTCTAATCTTTTCCACCCAAAATTACCCTTAATATTTCCAAAACACCTCTTTGGTCATGTCACAAGCACCTTTTTGATCATCCTAAAAAACCTGGACTAATTCTCTAACTGCCAGCCAAATATTCAGTTTTCTATAAGCCCTAGTTTTATATCTCACTACTCCTCTACATTAGCACAACACTGCCTTACCTTAGTACCCATTCTATTTCCCTATTTCCTAGTATTTCCCATCTTTGAATCTGTAAGCAATGTCAGATGCATGAAGTCCAACCTCCTAATTAAAAAGAAAAAAAACAAATAAAGCCTGGAGAGAAGGTTAAAGTGACTTGACGTATACCACACAAAAAAACCAAACCTAGAAAAACCTAGTTTCCCTAAATGACAATCCTGAAATCTTTCCCATCTTCACCTATCTATACCTAATCCATTCTTTAAATATCACTCAAAGGCCTTCTTTCTTCATCACTCCCAAGTTACTAGTTTGTAAGAATCTTGGCAAAGCGGAAAGAAAAGATGTGCTAAAAATATTTAGGTTCCTGACTATTAGTAGCTATAGAAGTCTTGTTGAACACTGACAATTTCAAAGTACAGAAATGGAAAAAGAAACTGAAAACTGGAACCTAACAGCTGCTTACCACAGGCATGCCCTGTAACAGATGCTTAGCATAAATTATCTCACTTAATACTGAGGAGGAACAAAAAACAATTCTCTTTTTACAAACGATGAAACATGCTCAAGAAGTGTCTTTGTCCAAAACCACACAAATGGTTAGGGGAAAAGATGGATCTGAACCCAGGTTTGGACTAAACATATTATAGGGAATTCCCATAGCTCACATTTAAATAAAAAGTTTTCATTTCCGTTCTGACAAATGATGACACTAGTTCCAGGTTCTTCCCTTTAGTAAGCCCTACCACTAACTCCTGGCTTCAAAAACCACCCAATTTACTAACGAGGACCAGCAGGGAGCTGCAACAGTGGCCCACAGAAATCTGTGGAAGAAGACCTCACAGCTTCCAAGCCTTCTTCGGTTTCCAAAGTCACCACCCAGATCTCCCTCCGGGATTTGATGGGGAAGATGGCGGCCCGCACCTAGCGGCGCCTCCTACGGGCTCCTCAGGCCTCGGGTCCACGTCGTACACATCGTTGAAGTGAAGGATGGTCAAGTCGTAAGGAGCAATGTCTCCTGACTTATCCCCCCAGGTTACTGGAGAGGGCTCTGCCACCAGCTCGGAAGGCTGAGGTGGTGCCACTGCGGCAGCCTCCTCCGCGGCCTCCATTTCCGGGGGAAGGAGTAGGCGGCGCCTGCGATGTCTCTCTCAGTCTCTGTGCCCCACCCCTCCGTGTGAGAGCCTGGGCGGCGGCTGGAGCATGCGCAGCACGTGGCCTGGCCTCCACACTGCTCCCAGCTCTACCTATTCCTCCCCTGCTACCCGCGCGGTCTGCTTGAGTGGCTTGGCCGGCCTCGGGCTGGAGACATCCGGTCCTGGGCCGCGAGGGCCGTTGAGAGCCTAACGGACACTCTGGTGCTCTTGGTCTTGTTTTCACAGGATGCGGGAAGCAGATCTTAAAACTTGCCGCACTCGTGGTTTAGGAAGTATAGTCCAAGGTCATTTCTGTGAAATCTTGCTGTGCAGACATTTTTTATGATGATCCCTGTGCCAGCGCTCTGTATGAGTTTTGCCTTCTTTACAGAAAAATAGAAGGCCACTATACAAGAACTCTTTCAATAAAACCTTTCCTTCACCAATTTGATGGTTCCTCCTCTGGCTCTCTAAGTGGGTCCTTCAATTTATCCATTAATTCAAAGTAATTAAACACTTTTATACCAGCTACTTGTGCATGGTGCTGATAAGAAAATGAGCAAAATAGACAGTGTTGTCCTGGGGAGACTATACAGGATGCCTTCACCTCACTGTGTCCCCAGGCTTTCTAGACTTTGCCATAATCCTGGGGGTGCCTTGCTGTCCCTACCATAATCCAAATGAGCCTTTCCTTCTTTCACTTTTACTTAGAATCTAAGCACATCACAATTTGTTTTCTGATTTACCCTGTGATTCTTCAACTATAGTTTTCCATCGCTCCTAAGGTTATGACAATAAAATGCTGTCTTTTGTGGTATGGGCTCTGACATTGGTTATGAGAACAGAGCAAGTGAAGACTAATGTTTCTATTGACTTATATTTTATAGTAGTAATTATGGATTCATGGAACCCAGTCAATCAATAAGTTGCCCCAGGATGCTACAACCCATTGGAATATTGCCTGTTGGTCATTTACTCAGTTGAATCTCTATTAAATGGATATATTTAGAAGAATGCAAAATGCCAAATTTCATAAAATAAGAGAAATAAAACTTGAACAAATAAGTGAACATTAAAAAAATTGAAATGGTAGAGAAAGATCACTGTTCCAAAAAGTCGCAGGCCAAGAATGTTTAACAGGTGAGTTGTGCAAAGCTGTTCAGCTTATTTTATATAGTGTATCATGATTCCAAAACCAGGTAATAACAGAGGAAGATAAAATTATAAACTTATTTTATTTATAAATGTGGGTATATAATTACCTATTAAAAATAAATCCAGAGTTATGCAAAATTCAAAATTACATTGTTTAGAGTTTATCCCAAGAATGTTAAGAATGGTTTAACATCAGAAAAATCTATCAATGTAATCCACCATATTAATGCATTAAATAGAAAATTAAATGATTATGGCAAATGATGCAAAATGTCTTTGATAAAGTTAAGTGGTCCCCGGGGGAAAGATGGCAATGAGAAAAACCACCAGCCAGAATGTCTCTGCAAGAAAGATAGGTTTTAGAAGGAAGTGAAAAAAATAAACAGGCAAGTATAGATCAGATGAGGGTCAGAAGGAAGGGTGCCTGAAACCACAGGAGATTCCACAGGAAGAAGTTGCAGATGAGAACTGGAAGGAAAAAGGCACCTGAGAGGCTTGTAGACCAGCAACAAGGGTGGAATAAATTTCCCCACCTTTGCATTTTGGACTGCTGGCAGGCATGAGCACTTGGAGGGAGTTGCTAACACCAGCCCAGAGACAGCTGCTGCCAGTGAGCCATGAGTCTCTTGCAGACAGGGCACCAGGCTCCCAGCTCCCTTAGGGTACCTCCCAGCCTACAGACGCAAGCCAACCAGCAAGCACCATATTGCTTCATTCTCCCCTTCCCCTTCCCTATCCACGGAGCCTGCAGACAGAGACAATTTAGCCACCACTCGGAGGCATCTGCAGGGAATGGGACCTTTTCTTTTGGGGCCCTACAGCAGACTGAGGGGTACTCAGAGTGTGAGCTCCCTACTTAACAGCCCTGCTACTTCCCTGGTGACTCCAGGAGAGTGGGGCAAATCCTGATGTGGAGAAACATTGATCCAGCTGGGCACCCTGTGGGTGACTTAAGACCAGCACTCTTCTCCCTGGCAGGGTCAGGGATTGATCTCTGGGGCCCAGGGGATAGGCCTGAAGACCAGATTCTGCACACCCAGGTCTCGATTCCATTGCCCAGGGTCACAGAAGGGATATTGGTGAATGAGCCTATTGAGGTGTATGTGTCTTCAGGGGCAGATCAGCATGTGTGAGGGGCAACCCTCCTCCCAGAGGAGGGTCATGCTCCCAGCTTAGGCTGTGATCATGGACAGGGAACCTCCCAGCCCATATCACAGCCAGGGGAGATCCACTGGCTTAAGGTCCTGCCTACTGGCAGAGGCCAGGAAGAAATGATGGAATAGAGGAGGGTGGAAAGGAGCAAGGCATGCTCCAGACTCCAGGTCTCAGACAGCCCCACCCCCCCACACAGCCTTTTCAGCTGAGTGGAGCCATTTCAGCCCCTCCCTGGCAGCTTTTCTCAGAAGCAGAGAACAGACCTTTGACCCCTGCTAACAGCATTTGTGGAGCTTCAGGAAAGGCTCACCCAACCCTGCTGTACCCAGCCTCATTCCCCCACCTGCCACCACTGAGGTGGAGAATAAGGACACACCTGGAAATCTCAGGATCCCACCCGCCACCTGAGGCATTAGAGTGCCTCTCCAGAGGAACAAGAGCTTGTTATAGGATCCAAAAACAATACTACATCTTGCCACTCCCAGCAAGCACCACCTACTGACAGGGACATCAATTTGAATACACTTTTACTACATCTACTGACACATCGTACAGGGTGTGGTCAAATCTTACCCACAAACACCACCTACTAGCTCAGAGACTAAATAGGGCCTGTCATTATCCAAATGAAAATCTAAAGGTAAGAAGCCACAGCTGACCCAGATGGGAAGGAATCAGGGAAAGAACTCTGGAAATATGAAGAATCAAATGAAAAGCACAGCCCCAAAGGAGAACACCAGCTCTCTAGCAATGAGCATCAACCAAATTCAGAGCACTAAAATGGCAGAAGAAGAATTTCAAACAAAAAAGTCAGTGATATGCAACAGAAAATGGATAAGCAACACAAAGAAACCATTAAAAAAATCTAGGACTTGGAAGAAAAATTCACTAAAGAAATTGAAATAATAAAGAAATATCAAACAGAACTTTTGGAAATGAAGAATTTATTCAAGGAATTAAAAAACATGGTGGAAAGACTCAAGAAAAGGGTAGATCAAGCAGAAGAAAGAATCTCAGGGATTGAAGATAACACCTTTCAATTAAATAAGTCAGTCACAGAGAGCAGAGATATAAGAGAAAAGAGTAAAGCCTACAAGAAATGTGGGATTATATGAAAACGCCTAATGTGAGAATGATAGACATCCATGAGGGTGAAGAAAACAATACACAAGGGTTGGAGAAGCTATTTGAGGATATAATAGAGGAAAATTTCCCAGGCCTTGCTAAACATCTAGATATCCAGGTACAAGAAGTTCAAAGGACTCCTGACTCCTGGGAGATTCATTGCAAACAGGAAGACACCACGATACACAATCATCAGACTGACCAAAATAACCACCAAAGAGGCCCTCCTATGAGCTGTAAGGCGAAAGAAGCAGGTAATCTACAAAGGAAAACTAATCAGAATAACAGCGGACTTCTCAACTGAGACCTTACAAACAAGAAGAGACTAGGGCCCCATTCTCATTCTTCTTAAACAGAATAATGCCCAGCCCAGATTCTTGTACCCTGCAAGACTAAGTTTTATATATGAAGGAGTAATAAAGTCCTTCCCAGACAAGCAAAGACTGAGGGAATTCATCAAGATAAAACCTAACCTCCAGGAAGTACTCAAAACAAAGTAATACATGGATCAGCACAATAAACATTCACTAATGTAAAATCATCCAAAAGCTAAAGGTCAAAGCCCAGATACCACAATGGCTCAAGAGAGAAAACAAAGCAACAAAGTTCAACTCAACAGGATCAACAGAAATATGCCCCACTTATAATTCTCTAATAAATGTGAACAGCTTGAACTGCCCACTAAGGAGAAACAGGCTGCCCGAATGGATAAATATATATGAGCCAAGTATTTTCTATCTTCTGGAAACACAACTAACCCTCAAGGATGCAGTCAGACTCAAGGTGAAGGGATGGAAAGTAATATTTCAAGCAAAAAGAAGCCAAAAGAAAGCTGGTGTGGCAGTCCTCTTCTCAGACAAATTAGACTTCAACAAAAGTAATGAAAGACAAAGATGATCACTATATAATGGTGAAGGGTACAATTCAACAAGAAGACATAACAATTCTAAATATTTATGCATCTAACTTAGGTACACCCAGATTCATAAAGCAAATCCTACCTTGTCTAAACAAAATGATAAACAACAATACCATAATAGCCAGGGACTTCAACACCCCTCTGACAGAACAGGACAGATCCTCCACACAGAAAATAAACAGAGAAACAATGGATTTAAACAGAATGCTACAACAAATGGGCCTAACAGACATTCATAGAACATTCTACCCCAAAACTACTAAATATACATTCTTCTCATCAGTTCATGAGACATTCTTTAAGACTGACTCTATCTTAGGCTACAAAGCATGTCTCAAAAAATTTTTAAATAGAAATTATACCATGTATCTTCTCAGACCACAGTTGAAAAAAATTAGAAATCAACTCCAACAGAAACTCTTACCTCTGTACAAAGTCATAGAAATTAAACAACCTACTGCTGAATGATTATTGTCTTAAGGAAGAAATCAATATGGAAATCAAAAGATTCTTTGAACTAAATGACAAAGGAGACACAAGTTATCAAAATCTGTGGGACACAGATAACACGGTCTGAGAGGAAAATTTATATCCATAAATGTTTATGTCCCCAAAACATAAAGATTACAAACAAACAATCTAATGAATCACCTCAAAGAAGTGGAAAAGGCTGAGCAAACTAACCCCAAACTTAGCAGAAGAAA